GGGGGGGGGGGGGGGGTAGGACCTGCCTTTAATGAGCAGTTAATTGCTGGGGGAGCCTGATTTATAGCTGGCCTAGCTGATGGCTAATACCCCCATTTTCTTTCTCTCTTTGGGGGAGTGGCGGGAGTAGTCCTGACCTTCCTCTGCCTCTTTTCCTCCCCCACAGACCTGCAGAAGTGTGGCCCAGGCTGGGACAGCTTCCAGGGCTCCTGCTACAAGCACTTCTCCACCCGCCGGAGCTGGGAGGACGCAGAGATGCAGTGCAGACACTATGGCGGCCACCTGGCTAACATCCTGACTCCCGAGGAGCAGAACTTCATCAACAGTGAGTGGCCTTCAGGTGGTCCCTGAAGGGCAGGAGAGAGGCCAGGGCCACAGGCTGGCACAGGAGGGACCCTCGATGCCAGTCTGGAGAGGTCCCAGGAGGAGACCATGCTTGCACTGTGCCAGGGCTGCAGCTGGCAGGGTGATCAAGGGTGGGTATTGGTGGCTGTGGGGGAAATCAAGGTACCAGGGACCTGACGCTGCACAGCCTCTGTCTCTGCCACGGGACCCCCTGGCTTCCCCCATGTGATAGCTGCCCATGGCTGGGAGGAATGGACGGCTTCATTGTACTGGCCCTGCATCTCCAGCTGTGACCCCAGGCCTGGGTTGCTGGATGTCCGGAGTGTGAGCATTTGCTCGAGAGCTAGCAATTGCTTGAGGCTATGATATGGAGTCTGTCTGAGGGCAGAGACCTCTGCCTAGGAAGCCAAAAGAACCCCCTAAATGCCCACACCTTTAGACACAGATCATTCCCTACAAACTATACGTGTGCATGCATGTGCACCCTACCAACCAGGTGTGTGTGTGCATGCCTGTGATTTTTCCCTACCAAACACACGTGTGCAATCGTTCCCTACCATCCATGTGCCTGTATGCATGTGTGATCACTCCCTACCAACCATGCATGTGTGTGTTTCCAAGACTGACAGACCTGTCCAGTCTGGCTGTGCCTGTTATTTTATTCTCCCAGCCCTAACTACAAACCCCTGTGGCTTCCAGATCAGTACAGGGAGTATCAGTGGATCGGGCTGAACGATCGAACAATTGAGGGCGATTTCCAGTGGTCAGATGGGAGTCCCTTGGTAAGTCCCAGGCACTCAGCACTGCGCCGGATACGAAGTAAAGAATAGAAACCCCATCAACAGCCTTTATTCCTTCCTATCACCTGGAAGCCATTCCCCACCTGTAGGTGTGAATGAGACACTTCAATTGGAGCTCCTGCTTCCAGGGGTCTGTGGTATCACTGCTCCAGAGGACAAGCTGCTTAAGTAGTGCCAAACCCTCTTGAGCTGGGACCTTGCTACCCTGCACAAGCTAAGCCTCATCTGTCCAGGCCGGGAGGCCCATGCTGAACCCTGAAGCTGTGGCTGGAGTGCTCCAGGCCTCAGGGGTTTGAGTTTGAGTCAGTGCTGGCCAACTATGCCAGTCCTGGATGCTGTGGTGCTGGTAGCATCCACGTTTTGTGAAAAAGCAGAGCCACTCACCTTTGCTTTTTAAGTATCCAGCACTCACAACTGAATAATAACATGCAGCAGAGTGTGTGTGTGTGTACGTGCATGTGTAACACCAGCCTGCAGCACCATGTGTGTGGACTCAGGTGTGAATGCACGTGCATATGAGCGTGGACTCACATGGGCTATAATCACGGCTCTCCAAGCAGCCCTATATGACCGAGCCTATTAACAAACATAGCACCAACGCTTAGACCTCATGTGAATTCTTGGTTGTGAGACCCTGGTGTCTCCCCCCAAGCTGAGCCATGCTCCAGGCTGGGCTGCTGTCCTTCTGCTGCACCATGCAGTGGGTGCAGTACCCTTCCCTCTCTGCTGGTACATGCTGTTACTTTTCCACCCCAGGGATGGCTGCACTGAAGGGCAGGGTGTAGTAGGGACTGTGCCCGCTCTCCCATGGGTTGCCTTGGGGTCAGCCCTGATGTGCCTTCCAGATCCCCTCTTGCACCTTTGCAATCACAGCCAGTGCGCTGAGTAAATCCAGCACAGGGCAGGTCTGTACCAGGGGCCCAGCTCCACAAGGGACATGGCGGATTCCTCATCCACTGAAATGATGCTGCTGTAAAACCAATGCCGGAGCTCAGCCCCAGCACCTGGGTGAGAATCATCCAGAGCCCCTCCATGTTGCAGTGAGTACAACTTCAGCAAACCAGCTCAGATAATAGCAGGAGCAGGGCTGCCTACAAATCAGACACTGCGAGAGCTGCATATTGAACCAGCCTTGCAACCAGGGTTTGCTCCTCCACGACCATACCC